TCAATGCAGGTTAATACAAGAGGTATTAGTTCACCATTTTTTTTAATGGCTGAGTTGTACTCCATGGTATACATATACCACATTTTATTAATCCACTCATGTATTGGTGGGCACTTGGGTTGTTTCCACATCTTTGCTATTGGGTAGATGATACTTTTTCAAGTAACTGGGGTGCAGGGAGGTTAAGCAACACACCTGAAATCAGTCCACTACCTAGGAAGCTAGGATTCAAATTTAGGCCTCTCTAGCTTCAGAGCCCATGGTTTTCCCAACATACTGTGGCATGTTATCATTGGACTATTAAAAGTGATTGAGTTGGAGAATGATATGATTGGAGTGAGGCTTTAGTAGAATTAAAGATAAATGAGGGGAAGAGATTTCAATTTCAGCTGTCTAGTTTTTTTGTTGTTGTTAATGTTATTTTTTGGGGGGGGAATGCCTTGTTTAAAGTCAACTTTTGAATTGTATCTTTTTGAAGTATATCCTCTGTGTTAACTGATTCTCAAAATATTTGCCTTATCGCCTCTATAGATTTGATAATGGGCTGCATTAAAAGTAAAGAAAACAAAAGTCCAGCCATTAAATATAGAACTGAAAACACTCCAGAGCCTGTCAGTACAAGTGTCAGCCATTATGGAGCAGAACCTTCAGCAAAGGGAACATCGGTTAATTTCAGCAGTCTTTCCATAACACCGTTTGGAGGATCTTCAGGGGTGACACCTTTTGGAGGAGCATCTTCCTCATTTTCAGTGGTGCCAAGTTCATATCCTGCTGGTTTAACAGGTGAGATTTAAATGGACAATTTTTTTGTCTGTCTGAGAATATAACCTTGGATAATACATACTTAAAGATTTGTCTGCTGTTAAGAAAAATATCTTACTGGAGGACTTTTAAGTAATTATGTTTGAAAGTGAAAGTCTCCAACATAAAAATTACGTTTTATTGTATACATGGGTATGGTTCTGGGAAATTTGGTGATAATCAAATGGTGATTATATATTGGGTTATATCATTAATTATTTCATTAACTCATTATTCAGATAATTGTGGAGCCCCTACTATGTGGCAGGCACTGGGAATATAAAGATTAAAAACATATAACCCTCCCTCAAGAATTTTCCAACTTCTCAGGATTGTAAAGTGCTATCCAGTATTAAAGTATCATGGTAGTTAGTAATAAAT